CCTTTATCAGAGATTTTTTCTGAATTTTTTCCTCCTGCTTCACTGGTGTTTTCTCTCTTATTCAGCTTAGGAAACTTCTGTTATGCCTTTGACAGGTGTACTGGACCCAATGCTGCCTCCTCCCCAGGGCATAGAGGGGAGGTGAGAGGGAGGTGAGTGGCATTGGGGCCTTCCACTTACTCTGCTTTTTGTAAGTCTCCGTGTGCCAGGCCAGGGTCACTTAACAGGGTCCTCTCTGTCAGCCAAGTCTCTCAAACTCATTGTCCCTCAGCTGTTGTTTCACTAGAAGAGTAAGAATCTTGATCTTCCATTCATAACTGTCTCTGATGAGATGATGAGGCGTTTGATTACCTTTCATAGTCACTCTGCCATTTATTTACCTTTATTGTATTTCTTCACTCTGACTTTGAAAGTCCTGGACGGAAATCACATCACATCAGTACCCGCCATTGCCTTTATTTACATGAAACAGACTCCTTAGGGCCTCCCCAGTTGATGAAGTGCCTTCTGGTTTCAGTCACTGGCTGGACTGAAGTATGCAAGCGCCAGAGGAAGTAAGTTGGAGAGCTGGGCAGGCACTGTGTCATGCTAATCCTAGATGAGAGATTTAGGTATCTTCAAAGTGTAATGGAAGCCATAAAAGAATTTAAAATTTAAACAAAAGCATAGTGTGATTTGTCTTATGTTTATGTTTTAAAATGGTACTTCTTTGGAGAATGAATTAGATGGGCACTGAAGAGGAAGGAATGAGCCTTTGCAGTAGCCCCAGGAGCTGTCATGGCAAGCAGGGAATTTGGTGTAGCAATGGAGGTGTAGAGAAATGGACTGCTTGAGATAACTTAAAAGGTAGCACTGATGATATTTTGCACCTAAGTTTAGAGCTCAGGAGTGATGAGAGCCAGAGATATGTATTTGAGAGTCAGTGTACCATCAGTAGCCCCAGGTGAGATGGACCGTGTGTCCCCTACGAGACACTGGGAGAGAGAAGAGGACCTGGGACCAATTCCTGGGACGCTGATGCATGAGGAGGAGCCTGTGAAGGAGCTGGAGAAGGAATGGCCACCAAGGTAGAAGTCAAACTAAAGAGAGCCTGATATTTTTTGAAGTCACGAGAAGAGGATTTCAGGAAGATGGCTGTTATTTAAGAGTACCTTTTACAGATTTCCTAAGAAGGAAAAATTGAAACTGTACATAGTAAACCGTAGAGATTAGTTACTGTAGTTCATCTGCTGTCTGGTCTGCCCTAGGTAACCACTTCTTTACTTCAGTCAGGTTTCTGGTCAAATATGCCTTTAATGAGACCTTTTCTGACAACCTGGTCTCTCTCCTGTTTTGTACAGTCTGTCATGCTGTTTTTTGTCCCCCTCCACTGTAACCAACTAAGAAAGAAGGAACACTGCCAGCCAGCAAGACAGTCAGGGTGCCTGTGGTTTGTGAGGATGAACGCTGACTTCGGCTTTGTCAAAGTGCGGTGTGCTGTCAGTAACTGCTGCAGTGCTGTGGGGTAGCACTGTTCTGCTCCCGCACACATCACTGTGTGCTTGTCACCCTTCCTGAAGTGCAGGCTCGTGCGTGAGGACAGAGAAACTGACTGCTGATCTGCGATACCAGAACCGTGAACAGGAGGCATGGCGGACAGATCCAGTGTCTGCGTTTTTAGGATTAAAATCAGTAAATGAAAACATTACTTTGTAGATTGCTTTTTTCACTTAATCTATTGATTGTTGTTTTCCTGTGTCCTTGTATAGTTTTTAAAAATACGATGTTTGATGACCGTGTACTTGTATCGCATGTACGTGAAGTCATCTGGTACATCCCAGCATTCTGGACTTTGGAACTTACAGAGAAAAAAAGAGCCAGGTTGTGGCCTTGGATGATTACCAGGAGAATTCAGTTTTTATTTCTGCCTCTTTAATTCCTTGAGTGTAAAGTAATGATCTGTGGAGAGGTCAGTAACTGGACTAAGGAATCCCCAGTGCCTTAAAGGGCCTGAGGTACCTTCTAACTCTTCCACATGAGGCTCACACGAGGAAGGAGACGTAAGGTCCCTGAAGTACTTTTCCTCTCCCCAGAAAAGTGGCTTCCTGTCTCTTTCCTTAACTGTGAAGTGAGGGAGTGGCACCATGTGATCCTAAGGTTTCTTGCTGATGTCTGATGTCATCTTGTCTTGCTGTTCTTAAATTTATTTTTTATTTCATGAGAATTAGAAAACATGGAATCTTGACTTTTAGAACATACATGCATTTGTACAAGCAATTCTTTTTAACGTTTTAACTAAACAAAAAAATATATTAATGTTAACCTTGATTTTTAGTTCTTGTGAAAATATGCAAAATTCAAAATATGAAAAATAAATGAATTCTTAATTTTTTTTTAGAAGTCAATGAAAGGATTCTATTTTGCAAAGCTGTATTATGAAGCTAAAGAATATGATCTTGCTAAAAAGTAAGTATCAAACTGTAAACTTAATTTTCTAAGCCCAATGCCTTTACCTCATGTTCTTTGAAATGGATAAAAGTAAGTTCTTTTTGGCAGTTTTTTCCAAGTGTGTTCTGGGAATAAGGGAATCATCGATCAGATTGATGGTGAGGACTAGTCTGGACCCTCGGAGATGGAGTTCAGGGTGATACTGTCTGCATGCCCACCGCTTGTTTATACCTAGGGCAAGAGGTCATTTGGTTAACGTTTTCTCTGAAGATTGTCCTGGGTTAGAGTAAAAGAGAATCATGGTTATATCTTCATTTCTTCCTGGTTAGATATCTGCTCTTATCAACTGGAAAATAGCATGAATACAAAGTTAAACTGTAATTCCAGGCGGGAGAATAGCTTGCGCAAAAGATTTTAATTGACTGAATAGGTGGATCCTCTGAGGCTATCTTATCACAGGACCAAGAAGGTTGGGGATCTGGTTTTCTGAGTTGTAGTGGCTTAAAGCGGGGAATTAGGAGGGAGGCAGGCTATTAGTGGCATTGTTGGAAAGATGTAAAGATAAGTAAGGAAAGTGTTAGCACCTTTATTTAACTAGCAGCACTTGGGCTGTTAACCCTGTTCCTTGTTACAATGGCACTTTTTCCTCCAGTGTTGATCTTTGGGCTAATTTCTCCTGTGATAACATTCACTGAGCCTAGAAAATGCTCATTTTTAGTTGCCACTTGAGTTAAGGAGTGGAAGTCACCTGCTTTTCATCCTGTAGGGAGTGGTTCTTCCTCTGCGCTGTTTCAGCTGCACACAGGCCTCTTAGATGTTGTTTTCTTATTAAATAGGTGAATGTTCTCTTGGTTGCTTGGAAATTGTTGCTCTTTAATATTTTGCATTATGATAACTTAGAAGATATTTACTGTAATCACGTTTGAATTTCTATGCAAAACTTTTTAGTGCTTTACCAAAATGTAGTCAGAAAAGAATATAATTTATGCATTCATTTCTTATGAGTAGCACTGGAAAGAGCATTTGGTAAATGTAGCGTTTTAAAGTAAAATGAGTATGTTGTCAACTTGGTATGTGTGTTCGTGTTTAAGAATTACCTGTTTTTTTCCTGTGGGTGCTTTTGAGTTATCTGCATATTCTACTTTAAGTGAATAGTGCTGTCAACAATGAGAATAACAGTGTAAATTAGTTTAGTGGTTGCTTTGGCTTAAGATATTCTCTCAGCATTTAAATACAGTTCTAAATGTCGTAATTTAAAGATGATTTGTTTTTATATTATTATTTTTAAACAGATATATATCTACATATATTAACGTGCAAGAAAGGGATCCCAAAGCTCACAGATTTCTTGGTCTTCTTTATGAAGTGGAGGAAAACATAGACAAAGCTGTTGAATGTTACAAGGTAAACTATGTAAGATTAATAATTAGCCTTTGCACAGCCAAACGTGCATATGCCCAGGTTAATTTATATGATAAATAATTTGAATATATTTTATGGATGTCTTGAAAACAAGCACTGGTATCACTTTATTTATTTGGATAAATTTTTTTTGTCTTAATTTTTATATTTTTGGGGGGGAGAGGTAGTTAGGTTTATCTTATTAATTTATTTTGGGGGGTATAATTAGGTTTATTTACTTAATTTATTTTTAGAGGAGTTACTGGGGATTGAACCCAGTACCTCGTGCATGCTAACTAAGCAGGCAGGCGCTCTACCACTGAGATATCCCCCCTTTGTCAGATTTTAAATTATTTGGCCCAAAGTATGCTATTTTATCATAAAGAGCTTAGCATTTGTAAAAGAAGATTAACACCTATAAATTTTAAGTCTACCATAGTCAGAAAGTGCTGTTCTTATGTGTGTGGTTTCCTCCCATCCTTCCTTCCCTCCCAGCCATCCCTCCTTCCCTCTCTCCTTCCTTTTGTCTTTCCTTCCTTCCCTTTCTTTTTTACATTTACCTAATAAAAACATAATTCTTACTTTATTCATCTTCAGAAAACTTCCAGATACTTTAATTTTAACAACCTTGAAAAAACATGTTATCATTAAGAAATACTTTTTAATGGGGTCAGTTGATAAATTTTTAACTTTTATGTATGAGTTATGGATTAGGAATCCTACTAATCTGTTATTTCTTTTCTGATGTCAGCGTTCAGTGGAATTAAACCCAACACAAAAAGATCTTGTGTTGAAGATTGCAGAATTGCTCTGTAAAAACGATGTTAGTGATGGCAGAGCGAAATACTGGGTTGAAAGGGCAGCTAAACTGTTTCCAGGAAGTCCTGCAATTTACAAGCTAAAGGTAAAAAAAAAGAGCAAAACAAAACATTTAGTAAAAGCAGTTGGGGAAAACTTAAGACACAACTATTTCTTTTATTTAGAGTTTAAATGACGTTTCAGTAGCAAGCCTTACATGGGGGATGGGGAGTTGGGGGTGAAGGGGGACAGAAGGGTACAAATCTTTAGTTCCAGATAAATAAGTTCTTGGGATGTAATGTGTAGCATTACCATAGTCAACAATACTGTGTTGTACATTTGAAAGTTGCTAAGAGAATAGATCTTAAAAGTTTTCATCACAAGAAGAATAATTTGTAACTGTGAGGTGATGGATGTTAACTTATTGTGAAAGTCATTTCACAATATATACATATATTGCAATATGCTGTCTATTTAGGCATTAGTTTGCTTTACAAATGGCATCTCATTTACCCTTATGGAATAAAGAATATTTTAGGGATTTTACTGTTTTGTAGCTAAGTAGTGGAGCTAAGATTTAAACTGAGCTATATCTGATACAAAATCTTTGCTTCATTGGGTGAAAAGTACCCACAGGATGACAGTTTAGAATTATAAAACTTTTAAAGAACTGTTACCTAAAAACGGAAAGTATTGTTCATGGGATAGTGAAGTTATAAAGGAAAAGTTAAAAGACAGTTTCTCTAGTATGTTACAGATAATCACTAAAAAGGATAGAAAGTTGTTGCTAATGTATTAACTGTTTCTGATTATTCTCTACTGGGTAAAATATAGTTTACTGAGTGATTCTTTTGGAAAAAGTCCTAGTGTGCTAAGCAAACAGAATTTTAAGTGTATATTGTTTTTAACAGGACCCCTCCCCCATACATGTTTCTGATAGAATTTTTTAAACTTCTGAATTTTGAAATAATTACCAAGATTTTTCTCAGGAAGTTGCAAAGGTTGTACAGAGAGATCCTGAGTCTGTGTCACCCAGCTACACCCTAATGTAACTATCGCACAGACCAAAATCAGGCTTTGCCGTGGATGCAGTGTTCATCTCGTCGTGTGCAGGCGCACAACCAGGCCTGCAGCCACGACACAAAGCTGCCCTGTCGCCGTGGGTTCGCTTTCCCACCATTCCTGTTGTCACGTCTGCCCCCCTTCCCGTCATCCTGCCACCTTGCTGATTTGTTCTGTCTTTGTAATTTTGTAATTAAAAAACATTACATAAACAGAATCATGCAGCCTGTGACCTTCTGAGGTTGCCTCTCCCTCTGCCCAGTGCTTCTGAGACCGGTCAAGTTGCATGTGTTCGTGATTGGTTCCTTTCTTTCATTGCTAAGTAGTATTTTGTCGTATGAATGTTGTACAGTTTAATCATTTACTTTTGAGGGAGATTTTGGTTGTTTCTAGTTTTTAGCTATTACAAATCTGGTATGAACAATCGTGTACAGATTTTAAAATCTAATGTATTTTTTAAAACTCCTAGAAATAAATAGTAGTAGTATTAAGGTTTTTTCCTCCCTGTGATATGCACCCAGGTTTTAAATATTAATCTGAAATGTTAGGTTTCGGTGTGCAGATTTCTTTACCTTATTACTTTGTTTTATGCCTCAAACATAATTTCCTTATTGGTCATGACAGTCCAGTCCATTGGTGACAATGGCATTAAAGACTGTATGTATGAGGGAGGGTGTTATTTTTCTTGCAGTGTAACAAAAGTTAAATGTTTCTGAAGCATCCTAATGTTTTTTAATGACTCTTTAAGGACACCGTTGTCTAAAAGTAAACCTAATGTCAAATCAGGGAGGGGAGGAATAGCTGGAGAGCAAGTCCTTTAGAAAAGGGGATAATCCGCAAGTTTGGGGGGGGGGACATGATTTGGAGGTAACTTTGGGAATGAGGAGTCCTAAACTCCACGTCCTCTACTTGCATGTAGACCAGCAGAGAAGGGACGAGGCTGTCTTGAAATGTCACTGCATTCAGTGGGGTCAGAAGGTGAAGACTCTGAGAAGGTAGTGGAGTAGGGGGCAGGGGGTTGAATCAGATGCAGGGAGAGCCAGTGTCCTTCAGGGATGAGGGCCCTGGGTAAGAATGACTGGAGAGGCCAAGGCTTCTGGTAGTGACCAGGGTGTGCAGGGCCGCAGGGCAGGAGCTCTGGTGGTGTCTGAGGTGAGGATGGCGGCCACTGCTACTGTGTAGTCCCAAGTGTTCCTGTCCACGTGCCTGTACTGGAAGTGACTCTGAAGGGTGGCAGTTCTGGTGGGAATTTACTAAAGCCAGACACTGGGGTGGTGCTCATGGGAACCATGAGGCGTTTAAAATTGTACAGATGTTTCTTTAATGAACGGTTCTTTAAAAATAGGAACAGCTTTTAGACTGTAAAGGTGAAGATGGATGGAATAAACTCTTCGACTTGATTCAGTCAGAACTTCATGCGAGGCCTGATGACATCCACATGAACATCCGACTAGTGGAGCTGTACCGCTCCAACGGGAGGCTGAGGGATGCCGTGACCCACTGCCGCCAGGTGGAGAGGAGTGCAGCCTTGCGCTCCAGTTTAGAGTGGAATGCTTGCGCTGTGCAGACCCTCAAGGTGGGTAAGACTGTTGAATCTGCATCTTCTACATAGGCAATTGCAGTGCATCCCTTTGTAGTCAAGCTCTGCCCTCCAAGACTTAAATTTCTTTCATTTATGTATAGCAACTGTGAAATGAGATTTTTCCTAGCATGATTTCCATTTATAATGGGTAGATTGGAGAGATAAATGTGACAAATTTTTTTTGGTGTTTTTGTAGATTGGTGTAAAATTGACGTGGCTTTACAGTATAGGAATGGGCAAAGGAATTTGTAGGCATGAAATACTCATTTTTGTAGCGCTTGATAAAGTTTTATAACTTAGAGTTTTTCCTATGAAATAGGAATATCTGGAATCTTCTCAGTGTCTGGAGCCTGATAAAAGTAACTGGCAATCAACCAGCAAGGACTTACTTCTAGCCTATGCTAACCTCATGCTGCTTACGCTCTCTGCTAGAGATGTGCAAGAAAGCAGAGAATTACTGGAAAGGTATGTAGACTTGTATTTGTGGCATTTCAGTTCATGAGTCTAAACACCTTAACAGCGTTATTATTTCTGTAATATATCCAGAGGTGATAGGTAATATAATGAACCACTTAAAAGGAATCTTTTTTTGTGGGGTATTAACTGGTTTTGTGTGACTTTGATTTTTAGAGAACAATATTACTCTTTAGACTTGATTAAATTATTTTGCTGGTAAGTACCTAGTTTGAATGCTTTATTAAGAGTCAAACCTGAAAAAGAATGTTCTAACTGTTACTTCATGTTTGATTCCAAAAAATATTCTTGAGTGAAAGTCAGAGCATAAACGTCATCTGTCAGATGTCCTAGTGTAAGTATTTGAAAATTGAAGTACTGGTATTTCAGAAGACACTTAATGTTTTAGCTTAGAAAAAGGGTAAGTAAAATAGTGTGTGATTTTTCAGTTTTTGTACGTTTTAATTTTGAGGACCAGTATCTCCACTTGTTTAAATTCCATTGAATGAAAGCAACACTTGGATTTGTATGTTCGTTGAGAGCACGGGTTGACTAGACAGAGCTCGTGGCAGACAAGGCTCCCTGCCCAGCTGTGAGTTGAGTCCCACTGGGTGTGCCATGCCTCTGTGTTGTGTGTTCCGGCTGCTCTGCCCACATATTGCACTTACGGGCGGAGCACCTGTGACAGTTGTGTGCCTGCCTGGCCCCTCCAGTGTGTGGCCTCCCCTGGCTTATACCCTTATCTGACTTGGAAAGAAATTCTTTTCACTGGAGTGGAGCAGATAGTAGTTTTCTTGAAGAAGTACGTGATGTCCTAAGATGAATAGGGTAGAGGTGGTCCAGAACAACTAAGTTGAACATTCAGATTATTTTAGAAAATATTTAGGAATGTTTTTTCTTTTTGATGTGGCTTATAAAACTTCTGGTCACATGGGAGAATGAGGGTGAAGAGACAAATAATTTCCTAGTAGTACTTTAAAATAATTTTAACTTCATGGATTCCTTAGAGGAGTCTTGAGAACTTTGAGGGGGACCAGGAGCTTACATACTAGAAGAAATAGCTGTTGCCCAGATTTCTTACTGTAACCTGCTTTATAATCACGCTTCACATTTCTATTAAGTATTTGTTTTTGATTTTCTTACAAAATGAAGACTCTTGACTTCTGTTAGGATTCAGAAGGCCTAACTAGTACATAATTACAAATAGTAGTGAGAAATATAATTTATTTAACTCTGTAGTTGTGTATATAGTAGAAAGAGCACTTATGGTGTTGACGACCACCTATCTTAGTTACTCTCTTACAGTGTGAAAATGACATGTTTAATGTGAGAAATTTCAACTTTGAATCAAAGAATGAAGCCATATGAGTAGAAGATGTTTTGGACGTCATTCTAGAGGTTAAATTTGAAAGGTAGGAAGTGTGTGGAATAAGAGTAAGCACTCGATGACTCGTGATTCATCAGAGAACAGGGATTATTAGGGATAGAATATGGAAGATGAAGCTGGAAATAAAATTCTTTTTTTAAAATTACGTAATGGAACTGTGGTTATTCACAATGCAGGAGTGGAATTCCTATGTAACATTTCACTGTGACAGTTTTGACAGTGCTCTTCAGTCTGTGAAGTCTTGTGTGGGTGCGAACGACGAGCTCTCGGTGACGTTTGTGGAAGTGCGGGGACACCTGTACATGCACGCTGGCTCTCTGCTCCTGAAGATGGGCCAGCACAGCACTGTGCAGTGGCGGGCACTCGCAGAGCTGGCGGCCCTGTGCTACCTCGTGGCATTCCAGGTAATCCGCCTCCAGCTGTGCGTGCAGTGGACAGTCCAGTGAGACGACTGTGTTTCACGTGGAAGTGTGTCCTGGTACCTAGTGAAAATATGAATAGATTAAAGTGAAAATGAAATAGTTCATTTGACGGGAGGAGAATAAGAGGATTTCTGCAGACAGCGAGGCTGTGAAGCAGGCAGGTGGATGCATGGCTGGCAGCGGTCGACATTGCTGAGGCTTTCTGAAGAGTTTGATCTTTTTTACTCTGCCATTTTGGGGGCCCTGTAGTAAGGAAATACTCTCAAATACGGATAAAACTTCTTTTCTATTTAATACAAAGAAATATTCATAACTTGGACGAAAACCTAAGGAAGTAATTTTTGGGGTGTGACTACATAAGCCGTGATGGAAGAGCATGTTTACCACAAGCATTTAGCGTGTTAGGTGAGCTGTGTGACGTGCACGTGACATTGACAGGAAATGATACCGCTGTGTGTGTAACATGCACTTGATATTGACAGGAGGTGATCTTTATTGTACAGCAGTATATTTATTCATCTTCGTTAACATGATATTTTATACATAAAACATGGCATGAAGGAAGTATGCCAGACGTAACCATTATTTTTAGATGATGAGATGCTGGCTGTTATCCCTTCCCCAGTCCATCGTGGTTCTAGTGTTTTCCTTTGTAAGCTTAAGTGGTCTGCCAAAAAGTGCAGTAAGCCTGGCTTACAGAAGTCGTTGTTAGCTTTAAAGAATGATCTTTTGCTTGAGGGAAAGAAAAAAGGGTTCACTGTAGAATTTCCTCCAGAGAATGTGCCTCCTCCTCGTTCAGATTACCTGGATCTTTTAAGAACTTGTTGATACTCACCCCACAGTGTTAAGTGCTACTTAACTGTTTGCTCAGCAGAGGCATTCTGCTTCATAAGGAATGTATTTATTAGCAAAAATTAGTGAAGTTAACAGAGTTTGCTAATTTTATATAAGCATTAAAAAGTTCTTATGACTAAATTTCCATAGAATCCTCAAGTAGCTGATAGTTTTTATATTTTTAATATGAAGGTAAAGTATATTAAATTTTTTTCAGTTAACCCACAGTCAACTGTTCAAACATTGACATTTCAACTGAAGTGCAGTTGGTTGTACATTGTCTGTTACAGGTGTATAATACAGTGATTCATAATTTGTAAAGGCTAGACTCCACTTACAGTTACTATAAAATACTGACTGTATCCCTGTGCTGCACACACATGCTTGTAGCTCATTTTACACAACAGCAGTTTGTGCCTCTGAATTCCCCTCCCCCATCTTGCCCCCCCTTCCCTCTCCCCACTGTCACCTCTAGTTCTCTGTATCCGTGAGTCTGTTTCTTTGTTGTATTCATTAGTTTGTTGTGTTAAACTTTGACCTTTTTTAGTAGTAAAAACTAAATCTTTCTTAGTTCATCTACTTGTGTCTTTCCTAGAAGACAACCACTTACCGTTCTTGGGAATTCAAAAATGTATCTGCATGTGCACGCGTGTAGTACACTGTTTACTTTTGAAAACTGTTCTGCCTCAGTGCAGGTGTCACTTGTCAGCCATTGAATACCTTGCTTTCACTTTCTCCATGGTTTGATTTTAGTGCAGAGACATCTACCTCAGTCTTGTCTCTTTACCCACCACATACTTCCATGAAATGGACACAAAATGGAAGCCTCTTAGATGCTTGTATTTTTATTGTCATTTGTTGTAGCACTCATCAGAGCACACAAGGGAGGTGTGGACTGGCATGGGGTCCTTAAGGAGTCATGAGAGGCTGACTTTTTTAATGGTAGGGTTTTTGAACTCTTGATCAGTGAAACGCTGTGGCTCTAGTAAGTACAGATGGTCCCTGAGTTACGAGGGTCCAAATTACGACTTCGACTTTTGGTGGTGTGAAAGTGATATGCATTTTGTAGACACTTACTCTGAACTTTTGAGTTTTGATCTTTTCTGGGCTGGTGTATGTAGTGCGGTAGTCTCCAGTGACACTGGGCAGGGGCAAGGAGCTGCAGCCCACCGTGGGCCGTGCAGTCACGAGGGTGAACAGCCAGTGCACTTCCAAGCCTTCTGTCCCAGACGGCAGTTCTGTCTTCCACCTTCAGTGCAGGATTCAGTCCCTTACATGAGGTGCTCAATACTTCATGATAAATAGGCTTTGCCTTAGCTGGTTTTGCCCAGCTGTAGGCTAATTTGAGTACTCTGGGCACATTTAAGGTAGGCGAGACTAAGCTGTGGGGTTCGATGGATTAGGTGTATTAAATGCATTTTGATTTATGATTCTTTCAGCCTTTCATGGGTTTATTGGGGTGTTACCCACATTGTAGGTCGAGGTTTCAGCTGAGCATTAAGCAGTCTCTCTTGAAACCTTTTAATTAAGATGAGGGAAATACTCATTGAGGTGTTGTGATTGAATAGATTCATAATTAGTTCACCGGTCACAAATGATAGCTGTCAAGTGCTCTATAAAAGGGGTTGGTTTTTTGATTTTAGATCAGTTTGAGAGCAAAAAGAATTTTGTCACATTTTGTTTTTATTTTCTGTGCTCTTCAGCATCTGTACATGACAGAGTTTGGCTTCATGTTTAGAAAATTTGTGGGTAAAGGCATAGGTCAAACTAATGTTTCAAAAATTCAAAATCAGGAGTTTTTAGGTTAGGAATCTGTTTATTTTGAAAAATTATGCTTGGAAAGGTGATTATATTCACATGGTTTGATATTGTAGTGGCATGTAAGAATACACTGAAAAGTCCTTCCTTCCTCTGTTCCTTAGTCATGGACTTCCCTGCATTAATTTTATTTCTTATGAGCTCTTCAAGAAATGTTTTATGCTGCATGTACACACCTGTACTACCACTCCTCTTTAAAATACAGAAAGAAGATGCACTGTACATTCTGTCTGTTTTGGTTTTATTTCCAGGACATACACCTTGGTGACATTTCCATATCAGCACAGAAAACAGCGTGGGTAAAGCACCGTCATTTGTTTCAATGGTTGCATATTATTCTATGGATATACCATAGTTTGGATTTTTTAAACCAGTCCCTAAAAGCAAGATATCAGACTTTACTTTTTTGAAGTCCTATTTCAAAATAATTCTGCAATGACTAACCTGTGCCATTTCACATGTGAACATTTTTGGGTGGAATAAGTTCTTGAAAGAAGGATGGCAAGATTAAAGTGTATCTACGCATTTATAATTTTTAGAGCTATTGCCAAATTTGCAACCTCATAGAGGTTGTACCAAGTTTATTCCTGCTGCCAATTGAGAAAGTTATTAGACATTTAACAACATTTACCTGCCTCACCCTCATCGTTACTTTTAGGATATCTCTAGTAAGTGGTCACTGTTTGGACTGAGCGTTTTCAGTGATGGACATTTGCTGCTTTTCAGGATAGCCCATTGCATTTTTGGGTAATTTGGTTCTTGGTGCTTCCTTATTTAAAGTAAAAATATTTTTCAAGCTGCTACTCATTGGCATTTTTTCTTTTGGTCCTATTAAAAAAGTTTAGCCCTTCTTTCACAAGATAATCTTACTGATGTCTGAAGGCAGCTATTGTGTTTTCTCTTCACCCTTCTATTTATTCATCATTCTTCCAGTTCTTCTTCATAGGATGTGGCCTGGAGTCCTTTTACTCTCTTGGTTGTCCCAGTTTTCCCAGTGGTGTCTCAGATTACCTGTTCTCTGGAAGCGTGCTGTCCACAGTACGGCATTAATAAGTAGGATTCCCCCTCTGCCAGGTCACAGAGCTGCCACTGCTTCCCCTGCTGCAGTTGTGTTTATGCAGGGGAGAAGAGACCCCTAACCAAATACTCCATTTCCCCTACTGTGTCCTGAATGTGCTGTTAGTGGAAAGTAATTTCTCAGAAGTCCTCTTTGTAGGCATCTTTTATTTACTTTTTTAATCAGTCTCTTTGGAGGGGGACAGGTAATTAGGTTTTTATTTATTTATTTTAACGGACGTACTGGGAATTGAGCCCAGGATCTTGTGCGTGATAAGCATATACTGTACCACTGAGCTATACCCTCTCCCCTGTAGGCATCTTTTATAGATTATCTAAATTCCTTGGTTCCCAGTGTTTTGCAGTTGAATTTCCAACTCGGTTTAACCATTGGCTGTATATTCATTGTCAGAAGACCAGAAGGTAATAGAAAGGAACATCTAATTATTACAAATGTATCACTAAATAAAGATTTTTGATTCTAAAATGATCAGGTTCCAAGACCAAAGATTAAATTAATAAAAGGAGACGCTGGACAGAATCTGCTGGAAATGATGGCCTATGATCGTCTGAGCCAATCAGGTAATAGTACTGTTTAACTGATCTTATTTTGAAAAGAAAATTTCTCTTTTTTAGCACATCTTATAATTGCATCTTCTGTCTGTCCAGAAGATAATTTGTCATAATCATTTCTCTTTGCTGTGTTGGAATAGGGCATGAGGTATAGAAAGAATTAAAAGAAATAGTGTCTTCTTTAAAAGGGACAGATACTTGATGTTAGTTCCCAGGTGGAGAAACTCCTTAACCCCTCCTTATAATCTAGCTGCTAGAACCTCCATCCAGAATATTTTAAAGTACTTCCTGAGCTAAGAGTAAGTTACTGATTGGCCAACCATTTAACAGCAGTTGCTTATAAGGCAATGCCATGGGGGATATAAAGATGGAAAAGATACACAACTCTCTCTTAAGGAACTGACAACATAGTAAAGAAGATAGAAGATACATACCCACATTCTGTTAGACTCTTGGAATTTGTAGATTTATCCCAGCTTTGACTACTGGGGATGGATCCTGAAGGTCTGTTACATACTGTCTAGTTCTGCTAAGGCAAGACATGAAGGTGTTCACATAGGTAGACTCTGTAGGGAAGTGTTTCCAGGAGAAGCAATTTTGATATAAAATTGGACAGACCTTGTTAAGAGTGAAGAAGTGGTCTTAAATTAGAGAAGCTATAAGCTTTGGTCTGTAGGTGGACTGCTGGTCGAGGCTAATGTTGCTCCTCTCCCACAGCTTACTGTTTTGTGGGAGGCAGGCTTCAGTCCTTGAAGTGACCTGGTTTTTTCTTGGGTCTCCCTTCTCCCTTTGCAGGGTGTCAGTAGTTGGTAAAGTGAACTGTTTTTCACTGTCTTTGATCTGGACCTTTCTGAGCTTGTCTCTGCAAATTTTCAGAGATAATAGTCTGGTGGTAACCAAACCTGACTGACCACCAAACCTGACTGACCACCAGAATTACTCCAAAGAGTTGTTTTTTTTTTTTTCAAATAGCTTGATTGAAATAAAATTGTTATACGGTATTATTCACCCTTTTTAAGTGTATAGTTCGGGGAGTCTTTAGTATGTTCTCAGAGTTGTGCAGCGGTCACCACAGTCAACTTCAGAATGTTTTCATCGCCTCATAAAGAAGCCATGTATCCATTAGCAGTGACTCCTCATTTCCCTCCAAACCCGCTAGTCCTCAGCAGCCACTAACTTTGTGTCTCTTTAGCTTTCCCCATTCTGGGCATTTCCTAGAAACTGAATCATCCAATGTGTGGTCTTTGTGTAACTGTCTTTTTACACCCAGCAGAGTGTTTTCAGGGTGCACCCATGTTGTAATGTGAACTAGAACTTCATCCAAGGAGTGTTTTATAAATAGATTATTCATCCCAAATCTGTGGAATCAGAACCTCTGGGAGTGAGGTCTGGAAATAAAAATTTTAAAAAAGCTTTTTAAAGGGTGGTTCTGACCAGCCAGGTTTAGAAGTCAGGTGTGTCAGGGCAGAAAATGTGCACTTGGTCCTGTTCTCCTGTGGCCACTTGAAACCCACACTTTTCCATCTAAAATGGAAACACTTTGGTATTTTTCACACCTTTTTTTCTTGCCTTTTATTCTGTCACGTAGACACAGTTACAGTTCAATCTGTGGTCTCTTCACTTTTTGCATCAGCACCCTTCTGGTTGTCCAGCTGGGGTGGTGGTCGGCTGAGATAGTTATTATTTCCCTTTAGAGGATGTGAGTGAAACTGTCAAGAGATGTCAGTAAAAATCTGTATTTTTAAAATGATGGAATGTAATTTGTTTTTCAGGGCATATGCTGCTAAACTTAAGTCGTGACAAGCAAGATTTTTTAAAAGAGGTTGTAGAATCCTTTGCCAATGAAAGTGGGCAGTCTGCTTTATATGACGCTCTGTTTTCCAGTCGGTCACCTAAGGATAGATCTTTCCTTGGTAGCGATGTTATTGGAAACCTTGATGTACAAGCACCGGAGCCTGAAGATTTGGCTCGATGTGACGTTGGTAAGTTGTATCTTTCAAAAGAAACACTAACATTTTACATTTTAAATCTTTTATATGATATTGGTAAGTTGTAGCTTTCAAAGGAAACATTTTGCATTTTCATTCTTTTAGTATATGAGACAAAAGCAAAAAGGAAAATAAATTACCTGTAATCTCATTACCCAGAAGTAATGACTAATATTTTCTTGTATTCCTTTCAAGTTTTTGGGGGGTTGGAGTAAGTATAATGGGGTGGTGGTGTGTATATGTATATATATATATTTTTTTTCTAAATAGTTGTTTACACTGTATGCATGACTTGTCTTCCATGAATTCTCTCTCATGCTGTCTCTAAATATTACTTTTAATGGTAATATGGTCTTTTTAGTAAAGTAACTATATATGCTTGCCACTTTTAATTATTGAGTGTCCAAGATGTTTCCAGTTTTTTCCCTTATATTAAAAAAATACTGATGAAGACTTTAGTATGAAGTGTCTCCATTTCCGATTTTTTCCATAGAGATTCCTAAAAGCAGACTTACCGGGACAAAATTGACGAATATGTTTAAGTTTCTTGCAAATTGCCACGTTGCCAGAAAGCTTGTAGCTCTTTATGCTTTGAGAAACCCGTCATTTTTCAGTATTGAATTTCCTGAGGAGGAAAAGATCTATTATCCTGACGGATTAATACAATGGTGTCCCATTGTTTGAATGACTTTTGACTGAAAGGACGTCTGCTGTTGCACAATTTCTTACTGGGTGACTGTTCTGAATTTGACCCCTGTCAGTAGGTTTTGTTTTATTGAGTTCTAGTGAGGCTCTTTTTTTTTTTCCCCTTAGGTGGACTTGAAAATAGCTTTCTTCATCAAAACTGTTTTATTAAAACTCCTAAATAAAGAGTATGAGTACCTTTAGTAAGATCACGAGACTTTGCTTACCATAGGTTTTCCCTGTGCTCTGATGTAGAAAAGTGGTAATAAAATTAAGGTCCCTTTAATGTGAGTCAGTTGTTTATGTTGGCAAAACTGATGGCACACAAAAAATTTTTTAAAACCTCAAGCCGATTTTTTCCCTTCATTTCAGGTGCGGTTCGAGCACACGGTGGTAGCCTTCAGCACCTTACTTGGCTTGGCTTACAGTGGAATTCATTGCCTTCCTTACCTGTAATTCGAAAATGGCTAAAACAGCTTTTTCATCATTTGCCCCAGGAAACCTCAAGGCTTGAAACAAACGCACCTGAATCAATATGCACTTTAGATCTGGAAGTAAGCAGAGATTTTAACAACTTCAGTTTTATGTGTGTTGTTTGACTTTTTTCTACTTAAATTCATTTTTTCTTTAAATAAAACAGGTATTTCTACTTGGAGTAATATATACCAGCCACTTACAGTTAAAAGAGAAGTGTAATTCTCACTACAGCTTCTATCAGCCTCTGTGCTTGCCTCTTCCTGTGTGTAAACAGCTTTGCACGGAAAGACAGAAAGCTTGGTGGGATGCGGTGTGTAATCTCATTCATAGAAAAGCAATGTAAGTAGTGAAATAACAGTGCTCTTTTACCTTACTGCCCAAAGACTTAATTCACATCTCATGTGCAGTTTTAATTTTTAGTAATCTTGTGATTAACATGCATGTAAGTGTTGAACTGCATATTTATAAATCAGTTTTATTAAATTAAACTTTTTTAGACCTGGAACCTCAGCAAAATTGCGGCTTCTAGTTCAGCACGACATAAACACTCTAAGGGGCCAGGAAAAACATGGCCTTCAGCCTGCTCTGCTTGTGCACTGGGCACAGTGCCTTCAGAAAACGGTGAGTTCACTGAAGTGAAAGCAGTTTTTAAGAACATTACCTTAGTTTTTAAAAATCACAAGCTTTCCATTGGAAGTCTTTCAGTTCTAAAAACTATAGCAGCTTCATATTATGTCAGGTGAAATGTATTTTCTTAATCTTGCCATAAAGTAGTTAATATTTAAGCGCTTTGAACAGTGCCTGGCACAGTGGATGTTACAAGGTATTATATGTTGTTATGACTGATAATTACCTGATGATAAATACTGTCCAGCTTGAAAATTCTTTTTACATGTTTGGTGGCACAAGGCTCTGTAGGTGAGGGCATTACCTACATAGATCTTGCTAAATATTTGAGGTCTGTTCTGTGGCAAGATTGGGTGTAAATTTTTAACCCTTTGACCAAACTGTGACACACACAGAGTGGCAGGGTTTGGCTATCTAAAAATAGCAACTTTAAGAAAACAGGGTGGGCTGCCTGATTAGGATTAGGTGGTGTCATTGAAAGTTTTTAAAAGTTGCATCTAGAATGATCACTGGTATTAAAGTAGTTGATTATTCCAATATTTGGAAAGGTGAGCATATGAGTTTTGAGATTCTATTTTGCCTTTGTTTGAAATTTTAACCAGTTGTTCAGACCATGTGTAACTGAATTTTTAGATTTGACCCTTTGTGTGCTTCTCCCCTTCTATTTTAGGGCAGTGGCCTTAATTCTTTTTATGATCAACGGGAATACATAGGCAGAAGTGTTCATTATTGGAAGAAGGTTTTGCCATTGTTGAAGATAATCAAAAAGAAGAGCAGTATTCCTGAACCTACTGACCCTCTGTTCAAGCATTTTCACAGTGCAGACATCCAGGTAATGGAGGGCCTTGTGAGTTAACTGGAGATGTGGATTTCTGGTTTATAAATGAAGGCATGCAGGTAGTAACTGCTTCCGTCAATTACCTGGCTCTCTGATGGTAGTTTTGCTGTGTAGGTCCACTAGCTGTCACAAATACAAGATGGCAGGAAAGAGTACTGAGATGCTAATCTCATAGATCACATAAAATCTTTGGGAAATCATTTGGGTTTGATATTCCAGGTAGAGGCAGTATGACTGAAAATTACTCACTGTGTTTAGGCATCTGAAATTGGTGAATATGAAGAGGAAGCACACATAACTTTTGCCATATTGGATGCAGTTAATGGAAACATAGAAGATGCTATGACTGCTTTTGAATCTATTAATAACGTCGTCTCTTACTGGAATCTTGCACTGGTAAGTAGTGTGATACTTGAGTTAAAAGGTTTTTGTGTTAAAACCTAATTGTTTCACAAAAGCACTCTGTGTATATAGATTTTTCACAGGAAAGCAGAAGACATTGAAAATGATATGCTTTCTCCAGAAGAACAAGAAGAATGCAAAAACTGCCTGAGAAAGGCTAGAGACTACCTGATCAAGATCCTGGACGACAGCGACTCCAGCCTCTCGGTGGTTCAGAAGGTGAGCTGCAGGTGGTTTGCACTTTCTTGCTTCTGGTTCCTGGGTGGTAAGTGCTCCTGCCTTGGTTTTATATTTTGGGAAATTCAAAAACACCCAGTAATACTTTGTTAGTGCCCAGAAGGGGGTTGTGTTTAAATATTTAGCATTGCTTTGCCATAGATTTGGGGGAGGGTGTTATTTTGGTTTTTGTTTTTTTATCTTAGGCATCTAGATTTATGCTCTTCACAAAAATACTTGTTGGGGAATTAGAAAAGGTTCCTAAGGCAGGCATTCATTTTTGTTATCTTGGCAATGTAGTCAACAAATAATTGTCACCAAAGGACTAGTTTGAAATGGATTTGGCAGTTAAATATTTTACTGAAATTGGAGGTAGTTGCTGACAACTTCAGAGCATTTCTTCTCATCTTCACCCTCTGCTGTCAGCTCCCTTTTCCCCAGCTGTCAGCAGCTTGAGGCTGTTACCACTGCATTAACCTCAATTATATTCAGTCTTCCATGTGTTTTGTTGATTAATTTGTGTTGCTCGGGTTAGGGTTTATGTTGATGCCTTCCAGCCTCTGTGTTTCTGTTCCTAGTCCAAATCTGTACCTTACTTTGTTCAAGTGGAAAAGCTTCCCCAGTTAGCATTGCTCTGCCACTGTTGTGGCTGACAGGAGAAACAGAAACGGCACAGACTGGAGAGCGGGAAGACATTCGATTACATGAAAGTTCATGTTTTATTACATAAAGTGTAATGTTCTTATCACACAAAAGTGTGGAGCCTGTAAATTAGTAAGATAAAATCTAATTATTTCAAAGTTCGTTCTTCGGCATTTTTGCAAACTAAAGCCGTTGATTCATGCCTTTTGCTTTTAGTTGCCTGTGCCCCTGGAATCTGTGAAGGAGATGCTTAATTCCGTCATGCAGGAACTCGATGACTACAGTGAAGGAGGTCCTTTTTATAAAAATGGTTCTTTGCGAAATGCAGATTCAGAAATGAAACATTCGACACCATCTCCCACAAAATATTCTCTGTCACCAAGTAAAACTTACAAGGTAAGTGGGGAAGAAATGAATCATTCCACACTGCAGGGTATGTTGCTGTTCTAAATGTTTTAAGTCCTGTCTTGTTATTTTTTCAGTATTCTCCCAGAACACCACCACGATGGGCAGAAGATCAAAATTCTTTATTGAAAATGATCTGCCAGCAGGTGGAGGCCATTAAGGTAAATCACTCAGGTTCTCTGAACTGTGCCTCTCCTATTCCAGGTTCCTTCTTTGGCCACTTTCTCACTTCCTTCCAGCCCTGTTCAGAAGGTCCCTTGGCCACACAATGGCAGACTCATACTCCGTTTCACATACTTCCATCGTGACATTTGCCATATTTATGAAATTACGTGTGTGTCTGCACCCTCCCGTAGATGTGACTTTCACAGGTGGAGACTCTTACCCAGAACATAGTGTTGCTCCTGGCACAGAGGAGATTCCGAAGTGATTGAATTGAACTAGTGAGATACGTATTCATACCTTGGTCTGTGAGCTCATGTCTCAGACTGACTGTGGTTGTATGTGTCAGATTTATAGCTCAGATTTCACAAGGGGTCTAAACTTCAAAAGGTCTCCTTTTTGATATTTCATGT